TCCTCTTCTTCCAAACTCTCATCCGAAACGCTCTCCTCCTCCATCACCTCGTCCTCGTCCTCCTCGTCCTCATAATAGCCGTATCTCGGCATTTTGCTGAAACATTCAATTTCTCATGTAATATCATTCCACATAGTTCATCAACATGGCGACGCATTTCGATTGTCGTGAACGATTAAGGAACAAGAAATCAAGAAACGAGGTTTGGAAAATATATTCCATCAATACACTTCCATCGACTGGCATTTAGTAGTTCTAAGGATCATCCTCAGCACCATCGATGATGGAACCATCTCGGTGTTTAATTATTTTTCAAACATAAAAATTCAAACACCTGATAAGAAATGATTATTCAATATAATTAAATTTCCGATGTGAAATTTTGAAAGAGGAAATAAATCTCAGTCCAGAAGCTTGATGAGTTAGATCACACGCTGGATGGAGTAAATAAAGTGTTTGCGTTGACTGAAGAAGCAATATTGACGATTCGTACATCTGACTTTGCGTAACTGATTGGGAAAATAGCTAGAGTTAGATCGATCACATCGTAAACCTACTTTACATCTGACGTATCAAAAATTACTTGATCCTAACAACAAGGATGAGTATTTTCATTTTATAATACAACTAAGAATTATTATTTATCGTTAGTATCGAAATCGCGAAGGAATGCATCACATTTTGTAGATATAAATTGCTAACGTCCACGACCGATGAGAAACGAAAGTCTGATAGCGATAACGAAATTACTTATCAACTTTCAAGATATTTAGCGATGAATATAAGTCAGAAACAATCCAGCTGAGGATTTTGTTACAAGCATCAGCAGATTAACCGATAAAAATCATCAGAAAACATGGCGATATCTCAACATTAAAATAAACAAATCAAAAAATAAGCTTTAAAGGTGGGCAGGCTCGAGGTGGCTTGAGGTGAGCGATGATTACAAGCCAAGATTGTGTGCCTCAAACCCTCCAACGTAATTTGACATTAATTTGACGTGAACTTCCTTATATTCTTAACTGAAGTATGTACTCGATCACTTAATTCTCGACCGAAGGTTCACACGCATACGCGTTGCGCACTGTGTAGACTGGAAGATGCGCATCGGCTCCACGCAACGCACCACTGTCCATTGGCAAACTCTCACGCTTGACTTTTTTGCTAACTTTTCATGGAAAATGAGGATTCCTGGACAATTTTTTAATTCTGGATTTGTAATTGTTCTTGGATTTTCGATTGTTTCTGTTATCTGCTGCAATTGGAACGAGACCGGATGCTTCATCATTTCATCGGCTTGTATGGGGTCATGCAGCTGTCCTGAGGGTTCTGTGTGAATGCATTTAGTTCCATTCAATTGAGGTCATTTCCTCAATTGCTATTTGCGATTTACCTTCCTAATTTTGCTGGCTTCTCTTCATTTAGTTTGTTGAATACTTTTTATCTTTTTGTATATTGATATCTGTTATATATTATAATTGATAATGTTGATAATCGTTGAGGTTGTTGCTGACAGCTTGCGGAATATTGCGATGATTGTAAAGATATTAGATTCATGTCCAGATGCTATCGACTTTTTCATTCACCACCGCCATTTGGTTTTCTCCCTATATTTCCTTTTCTTGAAACGTATCAATAAGGAGACTTATGAAAAATTCGCGAATTAATCTCAATTTCTTGTGTTTTCACGCTCAAAATTTTCAACTTATCTCGTTGATTGTAACGAGGACATGAAATGCTGATCGTTTTGTCGGTATCGTTGATTGCTTCATTCAAGTTATTCGTAGGTATGCTTCGGGCAGTTGCAAGAATTTATTCTTTCGTACAATATTTTAATATTATAATCGCTGTTATTTCTTATTATCAGCGTTACCGAGAATGATACCGTGTGCGATAATTTGCGATATCGTTGAGATATGTTCGCGAAAAAAACATTCCAATTTGCCCTATCCTGAAGTCATCGTTTTCAGAGGGTCGGATGGATCGTATAATGAGATGGCTGGGGTTATGCAGCTGTCCTGAGGGTTCTGAGTGAACAGCGGTGCATTCCAACAGCACCCAAGTTACCTCAGGTTATTTCTTATCTTATTGAGTAAATTCTTTCGACTGGTTCATTGTCATCATAGAACCAGCGATATTTGTTGATAATGAAATGATGGAAAATCTGATTTTTTTGTAATTTTAGTTATCAAATTTCTATATTTAATCAATATGTGTTTAATTTGAAATAATATTTAAATATTTGAATGTTATTATGATTAATAATACTCTTTCAGTATGTTAATAAAATTCCTTTCAGCACATTCCCTATGCCCCTCCCAATTAATTATTCGATTTCATTCAATTTGTTTTGAACTGTTTCAATTTTTTATTTTTCTTATTTTAAACGCTCACAGTTTTCTTATTTTTCAACATATTGTGTTTGTTATTTCTATTTTCGCGAATGATGATAATAATGATTTTGTCTCATCAGTTGAATTCAGGCTATTTCTTTATAAGAATAGTAGGAACGCGATGACCAAGTAGGTGTTTAACTGAGATGCGAAGAAGTTGAAGATGGGTTATCATCTACTTCGAAGCAGTTCGAGCTGATTCAGGTATTACACTCCAAATAAAAAATGGTCTGTTCTTGAATATTTTCATTTTGTTGGATGAATCATAAAAATTGAACTAAATTCTTGCTGCATACCAAATGTTTTGGATGTACTGAGATCATGATAGGACGCAGTGCATTGTTAAAATCAATGCAATTTTTAGTTGAGAGTATTATGAAGCAATGCATCGTTTTCTGATGATAGAATTGGAAATTCTGTTTTTGGCAGTGAGCAAACTAAACGAATTATGATTCATCTACTTCAGTGTCTTGAAGTTTTTGAATTATACATCCCCACATTTAATAGAGTGATCGAAAGATGTTTGGTGTTAACATTATTACTTTTCTTCCAATGTCAGGCATACTTCGAGGTTTCGAGTCTTGAGAACTAAACGTTTTTGGAGTTTATGAAAGTGCCGAAGTATGTGTTAATCGATCACCCAGTAATTTATTTGAGCAGCAAATTGGTATTTGAAATTCTGTATTGAATTCATTTATGATCACCTGGCAATTCTAAGTAAAACCCAAAGTTTCTGTTCTCATGATGAGAAATTATTCAAATCTTTCTGTTGCAATAATGTTAACAGCAAAATCATCTGAGTTTTTGGAACACTTTTTGGGGCAGCGCTGGTGTTGGGTTTAAAGTTTTTTTTCAACTAAAGTTTAAAGTTTTGATTTTTGAAGATACTTCAGTTGTTAACAGATATTCTGAGGTCATGATTTATGACATATACGAAAATCTTTGAAGTATCTCATTGTGATGATAATTAGTGGATGAAGTATCTCATAGCATAAGAAGAATTTTTGAATCAATTCCTTATAATTTATTGATGAAGCAAATAATATTAGGTAACATGTTGATAATAATAATGATATTAAGAATGAGAACGGCGTAGTGATGAACAAAATTTGATATTGAAATCAGAAGTCATCTTTCATAATTATTTTAAGAAAGTTTGAAAAGTTTCGCAAATTGTTCAAAAGCAATTTTTGTTCTAAGTAAAATTTTTAAGTGAAAACATAATTTAAAAAATCGAGTGAAAAAATTTTTAAATGGCATTCGTGAGTAAAATATTTAAATGCTTTTCAAAAAAAATTTCATGAGTAAAACCGACAAAAATTAAATGGCAAAAGTTTTAAACCAATGCAAAAAATGGCATTGCTTTAAAATTTCTAAAATAAAATACCAAAGCATGGTATTAGAAATGGTCGCCGTCGTTGGGCGGATATTGAAACTCTGGGTCGTTTTCTGTCGACGCGATGAACGCTCCCCCCTTTTTAGGTCCAGGTGGGTGGGTATTGGTTATTATTAAAGGGTGGGGTGATTATTAACTATGGGTTTGATGTTAGTGATGTTGATTTGAGTGTTTGTTTTTT